ATTTCTTGGAAAGCAAGCACCCAATGATCATTGCAATAAACATGGTTCTTCTCCCCAGCGTTGTGCTGTCTTTGGCAAAAATTCCACAACAACACAATGACTAACCGAGAGTGATCTGAATAGTTCATAATTAAAATGAAAAATTAACTCCGTCCTCCAAAAGTGGTAGATAGAACATTTCAGAAGCACATGCGCTACTATCTCAGTTTCAAAGTCTGAGTAAATACACAAACATTCTTGATAAGGAATACCATTATATCTACCCAAAAGAACCACTGTGGGGAAAGCATCCAAGCATGCCAAAGTAAAACCCCTCCTGTGAGAGGGGACTAATAAATGATACAGGTATTGGGGAACTGTAAAGGGGGACTGTCAGCAGAGATGAGAAGTGTTGGGTCTGTCTCTCTGTAAATCAAGATCTAAAATTCTCTGTCTGAGCACTCTCCAGGCTTCATTCAAGCCTAGCATGGATACAGAGGGATAAGCTCACAATATGCCAGGTTATCCATTATTTGTTTCTTCCAAGTATACTGGTATCTGTCTGTCAGAACTGGTTGGGCTAGAGAAGTGTTTCTCAACCTCAGCAACTTTAAGCTGTGTGGACTTCAACTCCCATGGCTGGTCAGGGAATTCTGGGAGTTGAAGTCCACACAGCTTAAAGTTGCTGAGGCTGAGAAACACTGGTAGAGATTCACCTCCCCAATTGTTTCATGATGTCACAATACAGATTTCATCACTTATTTCTCCCCATGGACATGTAGGGTAGGGAAGTAACTTTCTGGATAGCTCCTTAGTACGTGTCTTTTAGAATGTTATGTTGATTCAATTTGCAAACTCCAGTCTCCAATTCTTTCAAATTTATCCAAATCTTATCCCAAATAGTAAACAACCAACATTCTCCAATTTCTGTGGAGAAATTTACTGTCAGGGAGCATAATTTGGATAGACCTAGGGGAATTTTTACATGGCAGTCTTGCAAAATTCACTAAGACCTCCCCTGGTTTTCTACTATCAAAGCTCAAACATCCAAGATTTCCCAAAAACTCTGACTGCAAATTTAGCCTGCAAGTATACACTGATTGAGACATGCATTGGTAAATTCTCCTTTGAGACCATTCAGCTGGAGCTTTGCTGAAGTTTGAGAAGCTTCCAGAAGTAATTCAAGTTTTCCTTGCTGTGGGTTTTAGCAGGAGAGCGGTTTTAATCATTCTATTAGAGCATATGGTTCAACAATAGAACAGGGGAAAGACTATCTTATATTTAAATAAGCAACTTATAGGAAGGGATACACTCACTTTCTATGCTATTACTGCATCTGAGTTCAAATGTAGCCTTTTCCAGAAGTGCTATTTCATCTCACAGCTTAGTAGTTGGGAAGAACATATGCTTGTTCTGGATTACAACACACAGCTTTACACTTGACTCACTTCACATTCTTTGGGCTTGTGCTTGCACAGAATCTCCAAATCCTCAAGAGCTTCTTCATACTGCTGTAAAGCCACATAAAGCTCTGATCTGCACAGCCTTAATGTAAGATCATCTGGAACTGTAAGAGGAAGCAAAACATTTCACTGTTGTTCCTAAGAAATTATGAAAACAAACATTATACAAACATTACACACGCCAAGGTAGTATAAGCTCCAAGAAAGAGACTCATTGACCAGAATCAGCTGGGTTCATTTCCAATAAGTTTAGCCAATTTTTTTTTGTTTTTAACTCACTAATTCTACTTTATTGATGAGAAGGGTGGCCTGCAAGTGTTGCCCATCAGTTAATATGGCAGATCAGAGTACCCAAAGGTAGCATAATCTGATACTGTCAAACAACTCAGTGCTTAAGGAAAAGATCTACTGTTTTTTTTAGTTGGAGTGATATAACGGTACTTCTATCATTTGAGGAGTGGAGACAACAGGAGTGGGTGGTAAGAGAGCACTCCCCCCACCGAGTAGATTCCACAATTAAAAGTCATTCAGTTGCATTTACTGAAGTGATTCACTTTCAACAACTGCAGAAAGTCCTTACCCAACAAGAGTTTCCATTGCAGAGATGTTGAAAGAAATGAGGGACGCAGAACAGGAGAGACAACTCAGTCTGCTTTGGATCACATTTTCTACCAGCATAAATCAGCTAAAAACTAGCTCTTGTGTCTTGCATTAAATTTAGAAACTCTGAAACAAATCGCTAAGAGTCAGTCACTTAAAAATAAAAAAACTGAAATGCTCTTGGAGTAGTTAGGGAGATTTTCATCTCAAAGAATCAGCAACTTTGCCTGCTTCACTGAGCTATTATCACTTATTATAAACACCTCAAAAACAGGAGAGTAATGGGACTGTTCCTAATAACTCAAGTATGTTGCCTTGGATTCTGGAAGTAATATATAGCATAAAGTATTGTCAAAGAGGTGCTGGCGAAACGTTAGGAAACAAAACTTTCAGAACACGGCCACACAGCCCGGAAGACCCACACCAGCCATATAGCATAAAGTCTTCGCCATTAACAGCCCTGCTCTCTATGAATGTTTCTAATTTTTCATTTAAAACTACCTAGATTTAAGGCATAACCACACTGGATGGCAACTTATCACATTTTAAATCTGTCATTTTTTAAAAAATGATTTTTTAAAAAACAGTCTGGAATTTCTCTGCATTTAATTTAATTCTAACTTTATGGCAATAGGATTCTAATATTATGGAGAGGGAAACTCTTTAATATAACTTTACCCTGTCCCCCCACTCTTTTCTTTCCTCAACTAAAAAGCTTGTAATGCTGTCACCTTTCCTGATAAGAGTGCTGCTTTGCCTGTTTATCATTCGATTGCCCCTTTTTTCCCAGCTTGATATCTTTTTTGAGATGTGGTGACCAGAGTATTCCAAGAGATTTTGCCCTGCAGATTGATATAATCCAAGCCCTAGCAAAAGTTCATTACAAAGTATTGCCAAATAACGGTGCAACTTGGACATTCAAGCCACACGGCCAGCAATATGTTTAACTACATATTTGGCTACTTGACAACACAGAAGCCCTTAGCCTGAATATTAACATGTGTTCCAGACATTTCTGTCATCACCTCATGGTGGCAGCTGCCTCAGAAATGCCTATTTACAAGGGGATGGCCACTCTACCTTAGCTACTACGCAAGCTTGAGTAATTTGAGAATACTACATAAGCCTATAAACACCCTTAAAATGTATGACAAACATCATAGTGGTTTATATATCTTGGTTAACTCCCTGTGAGTTTAGAGTTGTAACAAATCTGTCTGATTAGCCATGCAGCTGTGTGACATTGCCATTTTTACACTAATTTTTGCTTGTGGACATTCTACAGTGAAAAGTCTGGGTTGGAGGAGGGGGTGTTATTCTCTTCTCTGGAGTTTCCAAGGTCTTCTACTACTTCAGAAACTACCCCAAGACTCAAAAGCAGATTTGGTGGGTTAAATGAGACCATAGAGGAAAGGAGACGTGATGAAGTGGAAGAGCTTCATGTGGACACCTTGTTTCAGAGGAACAGACAATATTAGAGAAGAAATGGACTGGAATGAACTTACCTGTACAGAAGTCCATTAGCCTGATAGTAACACAAGTATTGAAAGCTTCTGGGTTAAGATAAAATAGTAAGCTAATAGAAAGAATATCTTGCTAAGACTCTGCTACAGACCACCGAACCAGTCAGAAGAGAGAGATGAAGATGTATTAAAGCATATAACTCAAAAAAAACCCAAAAAATCCTGAAGTGATTGCAATGGGAGACTTCAATTACCCAGACATCTGTTGGAAGTCTAAGTCCACAAAAAGTGTCAAATACATTTCTTTAGTTATTCTGATTATTATTATTTCTTTCAAGGGATGGGGTGGTCATTAGGAGATCTACTACCTTGAATTTCAACCTTACGAATAGGGAGGGCTTGATTGGGAACCATTATTGTGGGAGAACTTTAGGCAAAAGGGGACACGCATTGTTAAAGTTCTTGATTTTAACAAGATGCTTAGTAAAAACAGTAAAACACAAACCATGGCTATTAGAAATGACCATTTTGATAAACTACAAGAAATAGCAAGGAAGATGACATGGGGACAAAATCTTACACACAAAGGTGTTGTAGCTGGCTGGGACTTCCTAAAATGGAAATTAAGGTTGACAGAGTCAAGTATCAAGGAGAAGGAAACTTAGGAGACATCTAAAGGAGCCAGTGTGGTTGAACAGGCAGCTGATGAACAAACTGAGACTAAAGAAGGATGCTTATTGGAAATGGAAAGAAAGGCTAACAACCAAGACAGACTATGAAGTTTCAAATCAGAAATATAGAGTCCCCTATTGTAGGGGAGATGGGCGGGAGAGAAATCCAATAAATAAATAAAAATAAA